ATGCCTTTTACAATGTCTTTTGCTCAGTCTCAAAGATATTCCAAACTAATATGGCTATGTCTCTGAATTATACTGAGTCAGATCTTGGGTCAGCTAGCTCTGTTTGTCCATGCTGGTGGGCAGTGATTTTCTAGCATTTCTCATAATAGATCTTTCCTAGGATTGCACAGAGATGCCAAGAACTGAAACTTAGACTTTTGATATGCAATGCCTGTGCTCTGTCACTGTTGGACAGACTACAGTATTTTCTGTTTCTCTCCCTTATGAAGTGAGCCAAATGCCACTCCTCTACAAATTTAGAAACCCTACTAGCCCATTGGCATGTTGTTCCCCAAAGTATTGCCTCTTCTTGCCTTCTGGACCTTAATTGCTTTTCAGATTGTATGCGTACATCACTAGTAATCTACATCTTCATTTTCTAGCCCGTGTAGTAATTGAGCATTCACTCATTGTTCTGCCTACTTTTCTGTCAACACTTATTAAAATGAAGCAATTAACTATTGTCTTAAATGGAGTTTAGAGGTAAGGCTCATTAGTTTTAGGCTCATTACAATTAACTGGGATGATAAATGTAGAATTGCTTTATTGCAATCCCTGTGCAGAAAAGTTGCAAGCCTTGATTATCTTGTGTAAATGTTCATTCAACACACTGTGCTTAAAATAATGTTTCTGCTGGGCCTGCCTGCTTTATGGCAAAATTCAGTAAACTATAAAGTGGATGCTATTAAAAACACTAAATCGCAGGTTCTCCTTGGAAGTGCTAATGTGTGCACATAACAACCAAGTTTCCATGCACTTTACCCCCTATGAATATCCGCTGACATCTAATGGGGCTCATTCTTTGAGTCTTCTGATGGCAATCAGTTGTTTTCAAATGCAGCTTCCACTTTCTTCTTCACTCTGATTTCTCTCTGTTTGATTTCATGTGCTTCCTAGCTATATAAAGAATGGCAATTTGTCTATTTTGTTGGGAGGGTTCTTGCATTACCTTTAAGGCTATTATTTTATACAAAGAATAATCAGTGTATAAGAGGGCAAAATATTAAATGCTATATTGGGATCTAACAGTGGGGTAAAGGTTTACATCTCCTTTTCAATTGTTTAACAATCATTTGGATCAAGGATCTACCTTCTGTGGATGGGGAGGAGACTGGTCATGAAAGGTACCTCTATGTGATGTTGTGGGCTTCTTCTCTCACTTGTAATCCACTTCACCACATTCAGCATCTGCTGCTGCCAACTCTTTGCATAGCATTTGTAGGGTTACTGCAATTGTTTCCTTGAGGA